ATGTCAGTCTTATGCACACCCCTTCAAGTAAAGTGTAACTGAAAACGTTGAGAGAAACATTTATGATGTTATTTGAACTTGATGAACGTTCTTATAATTTCGAGAGAAAAGGTTCTAAACACAACATTCTCGGAAGGTGCTTATCACGATTTCTAATGTAACTTTGTAACCTTTAAATACTAGTCTAATCACCACAAGAAAACGGGACATTCTAGCGTTCTTAGAATAAACGTTGAAATCTCGTTATATTTTGGTGAAATAAAGTCATTAGACAGTTTTTGTAACCTCTGAATAACTTTCTAATTTCATTTCAAAACAATGTTCCCACGTCGTTTTTATAACCTAAATGTGTCGCCTGTACGGCAGCCGATAGAGTTCTCGAACACACGCACACCTGAGATGATGATGATGAAGATGATGAAGGGCTTACCTCCAGCTGCACGTAAGTTGAGGGGAACCATCCCTTGACTCCGTCCTTCTCTCCCTCCCACCAGCCTCCGTCCAGAGCTTGCGTTACTCTGATCACTTCTCCAGCCTCAAACTTCAGTCCCTGCTGATGCTGATCCCCGTTGAAGGAGTATAAGCTTCGACAAAACGAGCCTGACATCGTAAACCCCTCAGGTGGCGAATCGAATCTCCAAACGGTCTCCAAAACCGTACTCCGAATGACTTTAAGAGAGCTTAAACCGGGTCTGTCATGCTCCTGCGCGGAGTGGACTGTAATGTTTGCCTCACTCCTGATCTGTGTCACTAAGCGTCTGTATTGTCTAATACAGGAGAACACAGAGAACTGAATATATTCGACCATTCGACCTGATGGATTCAAACTGATTTCAGCTCCAACTGTTGAATTAAAAGGTGTCAGAAACCTTTACAGTGTTGACAAATGTACCATGTTCTGCACATTACAGTAGCCTTTCTAGTCGTAGCTATTAATAGGCGATGGATAGGCTACTTCAAATGAAGGAAACTCTCTAAAGAGTGTGATGTGACGGGGTTTCATGGTTATTGTGTGTCATTAGGTACATTCCTGCTCGTGAAATGTATAGTCACTCCTCTGCTGGATGATGTAAGGCACATTTACAGGAGCTGCAGGAGTGAAACCTGAAAGAGTGGAAATATGACTGCATCATGTGTTCAGCTGCTCTCGGTTGTCTGTGGTCTCCCTCTCGTGGACAGATAACTGTGGTGTTCTGAACACAGCTCGAGCTCTGAACATCTTAAAGTGCACTTCTTGTGTTACAGACAGTGTTACAAAACAACAACAACAACAACAACAAAGTATGGTATTGTATGGAAGCCCGTTTCCACCACGGAATTTAAAATTTTTTACTTTCTTTCTCGCAATTCCACAATTCTGAGTTTATATCTCACAATTGGTCTTTTTTTTTGTCGGACGGAATACAAAAAAAATCACAATTCTGAGTTTACTTCTCGCAACTGTTGTTTTGAATAAAAAATAAAAAGGTAACTGTAACTTTTTATCTCACAATTCTGACTTTTCTTCTCAGAACTGCAAGTTTTTATGCAGAGCTGGGTAGGTTACAAATTGTAGTCCGTTACTGATTCCAAATTACAAGATACAAATTGTAGTTAGTAACGTAATCCGTTACGTTACACATTTTATGCAATATAGCCTAATCAGACTATTTTTAATTACTTTAGATTACTTTTGATTTGTTGTTATTTACAACATGAAGTGCATTAAACATTACATTATAAAGGTTTCCCAAACTGGGGTTCATAAAGGAACTGCAGGGGGTTTGTGAGTTTAACCCTCATGTGATGTTCGGGTCCTTTTTGCTCTGTAAACTCGTTAGTGTGATGGGGTTCTGAACACAACACAAGGGTTAATGAAATGCAAATAATTAATTAAATCATAAAAATGTCAAATTAAAATAAATTATTTTTATGATTGAGAAATGTTGGATACTGCTGGAAATGCTGCTATGGGGTATCCTATTTATTATTAATATTAATATAACTGATTAAGTAGTCAAACTCATTCCACATCAGCAGAATAGTGTGGTACAGAAAGTCTATGTCCATAAAACAGGTTCTGAATGAATTATGTTACTGATACCTAATGGTCAAAAGCAATAGCAATAGTCAATAGGTCAATATTATTAAATTGCAGACAAAGATCTTGACAAAGGGGTCTTGACAAAGACCCCTCTGTCAAGCTCCTGAAGTTTGCAGACGACACCACACTCATCGGCCTCATTCAGGACGGTGACGAGTCTGCTTACAGACAGGAGGTCGAGCAGCTGGCTGTCTGGTGCAGTCTCAACAACCTGGAGCTGAACCCCCTCAAAACTGTGGAGATGACCGTGGACTTCAGGAGAAACCCCTCTGCACTCCCCCCACTCGCCATCATGGACAGCACTGTGACTGCAGTGGAGTCATTCAGGTTCCTGGGCACCACAATCTCTCAGGACCTGAAGTGGGACACTCACATTGACTCCATTGTGAAAAAGGCCCAGCAGAGGTTGTACTTCCTTCGCCAGCTGAGGAAGTTCAACCTGCCACAGGAGCTGCTGAAACAGTTCTACTCCGCCATCATTGAATCCATCCTCTGCACTTCAATAACTGTCTGGTTCAGCTCAGCTACCAAATCTGACCTCAGAAGACTTCAGAGGGTAGTCCGGACTGCTGAGCGAATCATTGGTACAACCCTCCCTTCTCCCCAAGAACTGTACTTATCCAGAGTGAGCAAAAGGGCTGGCAGAATCACCCTGGACCCCTCACATCCAGCACACTCCCTCTTTGAACTGTTGCCATCTGGTCGACGCTACAGAGCTCTGAGCACCAGAACGACCAGACACAGGAACAGTTTCTTCCCTCAGGCCATCCATCTCATGAACACTTGACAATAACTGTGGAACACACACTATTTATTCACTCATACACTTATTTATCTAACACACACACTCAGTCTACATTTAAATTTGCACATAATATACCTGTACATACAACTGTCTATTGTTATATACCTGTACATACAATTTTCGATTTGTATATTTTTATTCCTTATTTACTTGTTCTATTTTTTATTTTTTTTTTATTATCTGTGTTTTTTCTGTCACTGTCATTCTGTTACACTGTGGAAGCTTCTGTCACGAAAACAAATTCCTCGTATGTGTAAACATACCTGGCAATAAAAACTCATTCTGATTCTGAAGATTTTGAATAGCTAGGCTGGCTTGCACACTATATTGCCAAAAGTATTGGGGCACCCCCTTCTAATGAACAGGTTTGACTACTTTAGTCATTTCTAATGTTTAGTAAAAAAAAAGCATATAAAGCTATTCTAGGGAATTGTGTGCTTCTAATTTTATACCAATAGTTTGAACAGGACCCTTTTCTATTCTAACACAACAATGCCTCTGTGTATAAGGCAAGGTTAAAAAAAAAGATTGATCGAGTCAGTGTGGAAGAACTGGACTGGTCTGCAGAAAAGCCAAGTCCTAATCCCAGCTGAACACCTCTGCTGTGACTTTAAACGCAGACCTTGAGCCAAAAGCTCATCACCAAACACCTGTGACTTGTACATACATATGGACATATGTACCCCCTTCTTTAGAACAGAAAAATGCACTTCCAAAACTGTGACATCAAAGATGGAAACATAATGTCATTGGTGTTTGGCGATGAGTTTTTTTGAGTTTTTTTACTTTGGGCGATATAGTCAGTGTATGTTTGGTGAGGTAGGGGACCCAACCTCATATTCTTTCATAGGGCCCAAAATTGCTAGCGGCGCCCCTGGTCACGATGATCCAAACGGTTTCCACTTTCTCCGAGAGAATCCAGTCTGGTGTCTGAATGCAGGCGCTGGAAATGATGTTTCACTTCCACATCGTCCAATCAGAAGATTCACAGATACCCCACAAGCTCACTTTCAGCATGTTTTCAGAGGATCTGGCATGAGTTTGTGTGAGATGCGGCCTATAATTCATGCACAGCTCACTTATTGTAAAAGATGCACAGCGTTGATCAAACGTCGGTCTGATTGTATAATGATACGCCGCCGGATAGTGTTCAGAGAGTGTCATGTTTTCACGATGGAAGATGATGACACTAGTCTTTGTCAAGAAATCAGCTTTCCAGTTTCACAGCAGAAAATCCTCTCAAATGCGGTTTAAGAAATAGTAGTGTTCAGATCACGAATCATTTTAAGGGTGATGTGTATTATTATTATATTGTATCAAGAGTGGAAACTATGTACAGAAAAAATCACTGAAATAGAATCACTGAGTGTACGGTGAGAAGAGTAATCTGTAAAAAATGTGCAGGGATAAAGCATACTATATGTTCATTTTTGGATATACAGTATATTGACCTCTGACAGCTTGTTAACGAGGACATCAGCTGGTGTTATGAATATGATGAGCGTGTTTACCTGCAGGATTATTGTCATTCTGCTCTGTTAGATCTGAACACACAACGGGCTCAATGCTAGAATAAAACCAATACTCAGCATCTCGCAGTTATTATTGCATTTATACCTGTAAACGCTAGCAGTTACATGCATTTGAAGATCGTTCTGAAGTACCTGCACTGAAAAAAACAATGGGTGTGGAAACAGTTTTCACTCAGAAATCACACATTTCACACTGAATTAAATGACATCTTGAAGTGGAAAGTCGAAAAACTCACTGCAGTGCTCTTCAGAAGTCATCGAATACAGCGCACACAGTCTGATTGGTTGCTTTTACGTTTGTTTATTGAGCTCTGGTACAGTAATACAGCGGTGGAGACAAATACTGGTGATGTTGTTCAGTGGCCTAGCAATACTAAAGCTTTCTGTCATACGAATTACATTCCAGAAGAAACAAAGCTGTAGGAAGGGAAACAAACACAAGATAGCAAAGTCACTTCTGCTGGGCTGCTCTGTTCATTGGCTGATATCAAACATAGAAAAATAAAATCTACAGGAGTAACTCTACATCAAACTTTACACACAATTCATCTGGATTATAGACCTAATATCTGAGCTGGTTATATTAAGAGTATGAACCTACCTTTATGTGTAAAAATAGAGTCTCTTATCAAAACAGTACTGTGTTTAATACTGAGTCTCGAATAGAAAACAGCTTGTTGTTGGTCTATAATGCCCTCAATGCTTATTCATGGACTTCAGATCCCAGGGTTTATTTCTTACAAAAGTGTATTTATATAAAAGTGGATCGTCTGATTCATGTATTGAGTTCATTTGTATTGTAAGGCTTCACGGCTCCACAAAAGGCATATAAAGCGATCCTAAAGGTCTGTACAAAAGCATTCAGTGGCACAAAATATGATTCGAAACCAGAAAATAACATGGAAAAAAAAAATCTATTCACAGTTTGAGCTTTTGGTGAACTAATATCATTTATAAAATAAAAAAAAGCTCTGCTATTCAGTGACCAGTCTTAAAAGCTAAAACGAAAGATCTTAAAAAGTCAGGTCCCAAATTTGCCACAGTACAGTTTCACAGTTGAACTTATATAATCGATATATTAGATTTCATTCTTCACAAGTGCTGGTAAAAATGGGCATCGCTTTTAATGAAGTATTGCTTCTGATTGTGATTTCAGATTGATTCAGTGTGACTTAACTGACACTCAGAGGTTTGGATGAGAAACAGGGACGAGAAGTCTTCTAATAAATCAGACAGGATTAAAAACCTGCTGTTTGTGTCAGAAAACATGCATGTCCTATGAAAAATATCAATAAGGGAGGATGAGTTCACACAATGAAATGATGGATCTGAATATTATCTCAAACGTAATTTGTTTTGACTCTGGCGTCCTCATTTTAATCATGAGAAAGTTTACTCTAACTTTTGTTTTTAATGAAAAGGAATGTCTCATAAATATGTATAAATATGCCAATGAAAAGAAAAGGTTGAAATAAATACATCAGAAGAGTAAGATCCAAAAATAATAAAACTAATAAAAAAAAAGAGCCAATGAATGTTCAAAACAACATAAGTGGCAGTAATATAATAATTTAGAATGCAAAACAGACTTTGGGGGAAGAAAATAAGCAAAATATGCAAACGTAATTTGTTTTGACTCTGGCGTCCTCATTTTAATCATGAGAAAGTTTACTCTAACTTTTGTTTTTAATGAAAAGGAATGTCTCATAAATATGTATAAATATGCCAATGAAAAGAAAAGGTTGAAATAAATACATCAGAAGAGTAAGATCCAAAAATAATAAAACTAATTAAAAAAAGAGCTAATGAATGTTCAAAACAACATAAGTGGCAGTAATATAATAATTTAGAATGCAAAACAGACTTTGGGGGAAGAAAATAAGCAAAATATGATTTAAAAAAAAAACTTAATCTGCTTTGATCTTTTGACCAGAGATTAAAAGGCTTGATCGTGCTAAAATACAGTTCAGTTCTCCGGTGACTACGAAGAGTTGAGATTTGGGGATATTCTTTTTCACATAAAGTGTAGTGCAATGAAAAAATAAAAATAATTGCAACTTTATTTCTCTTATTTCTTTTCTATTGCAACTTTTCCCCCCACAATTCTGAGAAAAGAATTAAGATAGAAAGTCAGAATTCCAAGATATAAACTCATAATTATGAGACATAAAGTCGAAGTTGCAAGATATAAACTCGGAATTGCGAGATATAGAGTCGGAATTATGAGATATAGAGTCGGAATTATGAGATATAGACTCGGAATTGCGAGATATAGAGTCGGAATTATAAGATATAGAGTCGGAATTATGAGATATAGACTCGGAATGGCGAGATATAGACTCGGAATTGCGAGATATAGAGTCGGAATTATGAGATATAGACTCGGAATGGCGAGATATAGACTCGGAATTGCGAGATATAGAGTCGGAATTATGAGATATAGACTCGGAATTGCGAGATATAGAGTCGGTATTATGAGATATAGATTTGGAATTATGAGATATAGATTTGGAATTATGAGATATATATTTGGAATTATGAGATATAGAGTCGGAATTGCGAGATGTAAACTCGGAATTGCGAGATAAAAAGTCAGAATTATGAGATATAGAATCAGAATATTAAGATATAAAATTACGAGAAAAAAAAAGTCATAATTGTGAGATAAAAGTCGCAATTACCTGTTTTTACTTGTCATTCTGTGGTGGAAAAACATTGCGAGACGTAAACTCAATTCAGAAAAAAAAGTCACAATTCTGAGTTTATATCATATTGTGAGAAACAGTCTGAGCTATAAAGACACAAATACTGTTATTTTGTATCCCATGATGGAAGCAGGCCTTCGTATCACACGTAAAACCCAAAGGATTGCGCTCGCTAAATAAATGAAAGACACGATGGTGACAGAAAGGAAGGAAATGCTCATATAAAGCGTGACATCCTACTGTAAGCTCAAGGTGCAAGTGTGAATTCATATTTACAAGGGCATGTGATATACTAGTGTAACGCATTAATACATGCTTTTCCCACACCACAGATGTGCAGACGAAACTAAACCTTATCGAGCTGCGTCCATGTGTTTGCAGACGGATGTACGGACGTCTCGGTCTGAATCCAATTCCTTTCTGTTTCCAGTAATCCAAACAGAATCCACAGTCGAAACGATTCAAGTTTTGATGGAGCGTGATGAAACAGTGGTAAGCGCTGGAGCTCTGGCTGTGGACGTGATGTTTGTCCTCACCAGTGCTCCAGGTGCAGGCTGATGTCGGTCTCGTCCAGGAGCTCCGTGTTGAAGATGCTCGGTCCAGACGGAGGCAGGCCGCTGTGGGAGGCGTTGGCGGAGCTGGGTGGAATCAGATCCAGCCACTCCATCGTCTCCCACGGCGACTCCGCGAAGGTCATTCCGAGGCCGTGACCCTCGGCGGCACCCGCTGAGATCTTTGTGAATCCGTCCTCAGCTGGCATCTTCAGGAGCGCCGCGTCTCCTTGCGTCCGGCTCAGCAGCGGCTCCAGGTGAGCGTCTCCGTGATCGGACCACAGCATGGAGGGCGACACCTGACTGTAGTGTCGGTGGAACTTGGGCGAAACTGTAAGGTGAGGCACAACTTTGGTTACAGGAGACCGCTCTTCTTTGGCGTTAGCTGGCATTTCTTTAAAACAAGACAATGACAGCACAGACAGCGACTTTAATGGTCAATAACAGCTGGGCGGTTACTGGGTGAAATGCAATGATTGAGACTCACCTCCGCTCTCGATGAGGACGTCTAGAAGCTCGTCCATCTGCTGGCTGCGTGACATCTGCTGCAAGAACATCACAGGATCATGTAATGGTGTTGCTATTCAGTGCAGCCTTCTATTCTTGGCTTTAACCCTCGTAACGCAGAGGAAATGTGTAACAATTGCATCCTGTTTTTTATTAACGGAATGAAACTTTGCAAATGCTTTAAGACCCTCAAAATACACATCATTTATTTGTTTCAGATGTTGTTTTTGAAGAGATAGAACCATTTAAGAAACATGTTTCATGCTCTTGGGTGTTAAAAATGCTTTTTGTAGAATTGTATATGAAGTTATATTAGTGTCAAAGAACTTACAACTGTAACTTACAATTTACTGTAATTTACTGCCACTGTCAGTAAAGCTGTAGAGACACAGACAGAAGCTCTCTGAGAGCGTGAGAGGATCCTGAGCTGCTTTACCTGTTTCATAGCATCCTCATAACGCGGCAGCCCTTTGCTGCCGGAGGCAGGAGGATCTGAGCTACAGAAGGCGGTGCTGGATGTGGGAGACTTGGGCTCAACGTGCCGCGGAGAGAGAGACAGAGCCTCCTACAGGAGACAGGGCCACACGTTACACCTCTGAGGAGCCAGAGGAGCACAGCTCTCTGACCAGTGTGTGTGTGTGTGTGTGTGTGTGTGTGAGAGAGAGAGAGAGAGAGAGAGAGAGTGTGTGTGTGTGTGTGTGCCCTTTGCTGCCGGAGGCAGGAGGATCTGAGCTACAGAAGGCAGTGCTGGATGTGGGAGACTTGGGCTCAACGTGCCGCGGAGAGAGAGACAGAGCATCCTACAGGAGACAGGGCCACACGTTACACCTCTGAGGAGCCAGAGGAGCACAGCTCTCTGACCAGTGTGTTTGTGTGTGAGAGAGAGAGAGTGTGTGTGTGTGTGTGTTTTCATAGCATCCTCATAACGCGGCAGCCCTTTGCTGCCGGAGGCAGGAGGATCTGAGCTACAGAAGGCGGTGCTGGATGTGGGAGACTTGGGCTCAACGTGCCGCGGAGAGAGAGACAGAGCCTCCTACAGGAGACAGGGCCACACGTTACACCTCTGAGGAGCCAGAGGAGCACAGCTCTCTGACCAGTGTGTGTGTGTGTGTGTGTGTGTGTGTGAGAGAGAGAGAGAGAGAGAGAGAGAGTGTGTGTGTGTGTGTGTGTGTGTGAGAGTGTGAGTGGGTGCGAGAGCGAGAGAGAG